AGAGAGGCAACATAGAAGGGATGGCGATCACCCCTATTGCGAATGTCGACTAGCAGTAGATAAACGACTATTAAGCGATTATCGAGTATCGATGCTATTGTGAGTGTCGCTTAGTCGCTCAATTAGCGACTGTGAATACTTTTTAATCGCTCATCCTTCTATTGCTGTTTCTTAGTCGTTGGAGTATGCGTTTATAAAATTTGCATTAGAGAGTGGTACAATAATGGATAAAAAGTAAGCCAATTGAACTGGAAGTTGTAAAAAATTGTGAAATATACATATGTATGTATGTGCCTGACTTGCAGATCAAAAATTGTAAGCAACAAAAGGCAACTTGCGCGGTTGGTCGACCTGATGCAGGAGAATGGGGACAAAGGCAAAGGAATTTTCGGAAAGAGGAGGGTCTCCGCTTCTATTGTGAAAGATATACAATATTTCGTGTGCAAATTGTTTTTGCGCAGAGCCAACATCAAAGTTTACAAAAAACTGCATTATTTATTAACTAGTGCTCGGAAATTTTAAATATTTATTTTGAATTAAAGTTTAATTCTTTCGCTACACTTGTATGTTAAAGTTCTTAAACTCGGGTCACGCTTTTGTACACAAATACCCAACATCATTGTACAAATAACTAAACCGTACCGATTTCTTACACTTCAATAAAGTTTATTAATGAGGAAAATAGCTTTTCCTGCAAGTCCTGTAAAACCTGCAAACTGTGAAGCATCTGGAACGCAACTTCTATTCATAAAATTCACATATGTACGTACACTTCATCTTCCAACTCCAAAGGATCCGACAATTCCCTACTTGCTTTAGCCAACTCTACTAATGTAAACAAATGTAAACAAACAAACAGCAATTCAGTCAACCATTCACATAGTACAAATTTTTATCGATCAAGTTACATAATAGCAAAATAAAAGATGATCGACTCGATCGACAAATTTCTATTCGACTGCCAGTCGACACTCGCAATAGGGGCTTATATGTCGCTAGAACATAAGGTTAACAGGTTGACAGACATAATGACCGACGCATTTAACTTTAGCTGCCCGGAGACCAAGCCGAAGAGGAAGGCCAAAACTGCGTGGTGGTCTCGGGAGCTCTCTGGAAGGAGGTGCGCAGGCTATTTAACCAGGCCCAGCGCACTGGATGCAGCTAAACTAACGAGCTACAACAAATAGGTCAGGAAGGCGAAGAGAGAAAGTTTCAGAACCTATTTTGAAGGTATCTCGAACACTCCAGCAGCCGTGAGGTTACACAAGGCTCTAGCCAGAGGGACGGTCAAGTCGTAACTAGCACTAAAGCTTCCGGATGGCACTTACTAATAATACTAATAGCAATAGGGCAGCCAATCTGCTTACAACACACTTCCTGGAGGCCTACCTTAGAACTGGACCCGGAGCTCTGGCGAACTAGACCACAACCATGTGACTGGAAACTGAGAAAGAAGTATTTTCACCCAGGATTCAGTTAGGTGGGCTTTGCGATCGTTCGAGCACTACAAGGCCCCTGGCGTAGATGACATCCGCCCAGTCATGTTACAGCAGGGTGGAGAGAATCTAATACCACACCTAGAGGACATAATGAGAAACAGTCCTGTTCGAAGCTTACGTTCCACAGGTGTGGCGGAGGGTGCGAGTAATTTTTACCCCGAAGGTGGGAAAGGGGGATTACCTGCTAGCAAATTCCTTCGGACCTATAAGCAGTGTTGCCGCCGCTGAAAGAACTTTCTAACCAAGATTAGACGAAAAAGTTACCAAATGTAAGGAAAAATAACCAGCTTTTTTATTGGTTTAACAATTCAGGTAATCACAAATTCTTTTTTATAATACGTATAGAAAAAGTTAACAAACTAAAGAAAATCAATTTTTATTTGCATTTTTAAAAGTCAATTCTTTTAAGGCTGTAATATTTAAATACATATTTTATAAAATCAGTTTTCCCTTATTAGATGCATATGTATGAATGTTAATATCTTCGTAAACATTACCAGTCTCTAAATGACGTTTTTAAACAAGTACATAGGTACACAGTTTCCCACTTCTTTATAAGAATCAATAAAATACCTAATCAGCGTGAACAACCACATTGTATATATCTTAAGATTAAGATTAAACAATTAAAAATTGGACTTATTGAACTATATCGTCGCTCAGCGCGAAATACCTCGTATACGCCAAACGTAGTACCGCTTATACGATGGTAAATAAATTTAAAAAAAGGCCAAAAACCCGATTTTTTCAAAACTGTGGAATGGTATTTATTTTAACTGAGCCTACTTGCTATAAGAGTATTATTATTAATCTTAACTTAAATTAATAAAGTAAGCAGTAATGGAAAAAGAATAACCAAATCCCTTTTTATTGTACATACATGACGTGGTATTGGGTTCTGCATATACGAGGTATCTATATATGTACTATCTAACAGGTTTGTTGCGAATACTAATCCAAGATAAAAGTCCTTTCCGGATAATAAACAAACGGCCTGTCCAAATTAAACAAATTTGGTATCATATGAAAGAGAACTGAAATAGCTTTTAAACAGAAATAACGAACGACCTCTACTTATATATTTTTTATAATCTAATACTATTTAAAGAAATGCATATACCTGACACAAGGTTTGTTCTATGGTAATTAATTAACATTTTTTGTTGAAATATTTTTCAATATGTGGCTTTCCTCGTTTAGACATTTCAGTTTTAAAGCTATTTAAGTCCTTTTTCATTTGATACCAAAGTGGTTTAATTTGGATAAGCGGTTTTTTTTATCCGGAAAAGACTTTAATTTCGGAATAATATTCGCAACAACCCTGCTATCTAAGTATGTATTGATTTGAAGTAGTCTTTAGTCGACCATGTATATTATGTATTCTGTATATTATAAAACAAATACATACATATGTAAGTAATATTAATACATTCATTCCAAATATTCTCACTTGGTTTCACTGCTGCGGCTGCCACTGCTGCTGCTACTCTCTACCTCAACCTCGACAGGTGTAGCTGGCCTATGTCAATTAAAAACTACAGTAAATATTAAAAAATAACCAAAACGGGACAGATATTAACAACTTCACAGGCAAGAAAAAAATAACCAAAATTGGTTAAAAGTAACCAAAACGGCAACACTGCCTATAAGCCTTACCTCCTAGCATTCTGAGGACAAATCCTATACACACTTGTCAGCATGCATATAGGACAGGAAGGAGGATCTTAGGAAAGGGAGGTTCACACAAAGGGATCTAAACTGGCGACGTTCCAAAGTTTTCTAACAAGTTTTCTTAAAGGACACTGCAGACTAAGGGGTCGCCTACATAAGCTGGGCATATGGTTGAATGATCTCTGTAGGTTCTGTGACTTGACCAGCGAGACGCCGCTTCACATTCTCACCGTGTTTGATGCAGTCTGCAGAAGATGTGAGAGGAGTGTAGGCTCTATGGGTACAGCTTGAGCACATCCACTCCCTACCCCCGAAGGCGCTATTGATCTTTCTGAGGGATCTGGGCTTAGATGAAGTGTTGTGAGAAGAAGAGGTCACAATAGATCACCAGGTCGCGGTGCACACATATTAATATTTATCTATATATATATGATAGGTGTCCTAACTGGACATAACATGTTGGCAGCGCACGCAAACAAAATGGGGAATGCTGTCAGTGAAGTTTTCAGGAAATGCATGGGAACGGGAACAAGGGAGACCCTAGAACACATCACACAAGTCATTGTCCTGCTGTATCAAAACACGATTGAAATATCTCTGAGGTCCAGAGTATAATAATCTTGAAATGATGTATAGGCTGACTTCCAAAACGTATCAATACTGTTATACTGCGGTATTCAAACTGTTTGTATATGCAAAGTTGCGACGCATTGCAGCCATATACATTGCATATCTCAAATATTCAATATAGCAATGAACAATTTCTCTGAATTTTCCATTTCTAAAACATCAGTGGTAACCAATAACAAACGAAGCATCAACTTTATTTCTGATGCGCTGATTGCTCTAGCGATGCGTTTCGATAACTTTTCATATGCGTTTTGGAAAAGTATACTTTGTACGTATGCAAAGCAATTGACGTTTTGGAAGTCAGCCATACTTCGAGTATACTTAACTAAACCTCTATGTCTATCTGGCATCACTAGGGACCTATTGGTCTATGTGGGGCGGTCAGCCAGACTGAATAACCTTACCTAACCTTAAATTTAATAATTTCTATCTATTGATGTATTATAAAAGACTGCAAGTCTTACGTCGACCCTCAAATCTTAAAAAATAAATTTATTTCCCAGGTTTAAAACCGGCTAAGAGGTGTCAGTTCAGCACTGGTCACCAAACAGGTTGGGGAACTTCGGTGTTGTTCCATACAGCAACAACAGCTAGGTATTGTATCGCAGAAAGGTCATCTGGTCCGCACATTGATCCCTTGCGACTAATCTAATGAACAATTAAGTAATACGAATTTTTTGTAAAAAGGTAGAATGTTATATATAAAATATATCATGCACACCTAAACGTTGCTTTTGTAATTTATCAAGTAGTTCTTTAGTTTACTAAAAAATATTTTTTTTACTTTCAGTATATCTTACATTCAATTTGAGGAGTGCATTACTTGGAGAATTATTGAAGTATTTCAAATAGAATAACGCTAACAAAAAAGTTAAGACTGAAAAAAGCATCTAATAGTAATGTATTTATCTGAAAAACGAAAAAAAATTTTAAATTGAATTACGTATTCAAGAAATGTTTCGTTTGTAAGCCAAGGATGAAACTTATTTAATATTGCTAACTTTGGAAAAGGGAATAAAAACACGGAATTCATGTTGCCTCGGAATTCACATCCTATGTATGCAGATGAAATTTTCCTTTCTTACTGCGAAGTCTTAGCATAACCGTTTTTATAGCGCTTAAATGATAAACCATATTTATAATTACATGTAGTTTAAAAGTACTCCGGTAACAATGCATGAGATACAGATAAATGACATCAGAAAAAAACGTGATTGATGCCGTCCGAGGAACGATTGCAGCTATGTTTAACAACGTATATCATTTATTCAAAGATGCTGACAACTGCACCTTGATGTCACAATATTTCAAACTTCGGACACGCGGCAATGTACACATTAGACTTTGGCGATGGCGAAAACGGCAGCGTGTTTTACGATTATTTAGATTTTTTACAGTCAGCACGATCTGCTTCTTATGTTACTGTAGTGTTTTTAGTGCCGTTGTTGCGCTAAATGAAAGCAGCGGTCAAAGCAGAAATGGTAGTAGTAAATTGAAAAACACTTTGCCGAGCTCAACGAGTATAAATGATACGACACAGATGGGACTACAATTTCCCTCAAGTGACATCGTTGCACAATTCAGTTTGCCAGCACTGGCTCCTGGAGGTAGTACCACTGAAGGAGGATCCGATGGTCTCGCTTCTTCAACAATGACAAGCACACTTAATACGCTTAATCGCTCGAATCCAACTATTCTAAGTGGTTCTCAGTACAAAAATTATTTTACCCATTTAGCATACGATCCTAAGCGTAAAGTTTTTTACGCTGGCGCAACTAATAAGATACTCCAATTGAATGAAAATTTGCGTGTTTTATCTCAGGCATTAACAGGACCCAAATATGATTCACCCCAATGTCACGCCAGCGGTTGCCCCGATGATGTCGATACAACACTAGTTAATAACCATAATAAAATACTAATAGTAAATTATGCACAGGGTGTGGGAATACTTATTGTATGTGGCAGTGTACGGCAAGGTGAGTGTTATACTATACTTACAATAAGACATGCATACATATTAATTTTGATTATTTAAATCATCACTAAATGTTGTTTATATGTAGGTGCCTGTGAAATGTATAACCTTACAAATTTTCCGAACTCGCCTCAGTTCATTGAAACTCCTTTAGCTGCAAATGATGAGTTCGCCTCCACGTTTGCATTTGTTGGTCCAGCAAAGTATTCATGGAAAGACGAAGATATTCTGTATGTTGGTACAACATTTACAAATGTTGGTGATTATAGGCATGACGTGCCAGCAATTTCATCACGCCGTTTAGACGATTTAAATTATGTTGAGTTTTCAATACAGCAATCTATTATTAATATAGATGTTAAATATCGTGATCACTTTCTTGTTAACTATGTGTACGGATTTAATTCATCAGAATATGCCTATTTTGCACTAGTGCAAAAGAAATCACATTTAGCTGATGAAGCTGGCTACGTTACTCGATTAGCGCGGATCTGTGTTGCGGACCCGAATTATGATACTTATACCGAGGTGACCATTCAGTGTCTTGCAACCAGGGATAATGTTGACTATAACATATTACGGGATGCAAAGATTACTCAAGCTGGCCAAAAATTAGCTCAGAAAATGGGACTAAAACGTGATGATTCTGTTTTAGTTGCCGTCTTCTCGCCATCTAAAGAAATCACAGATCAAGTAGAAGCCAAATCGGCCATGTGCATATATAGTCTAAAAGACATTGAAGAAATGTTTAATGAGAACATACATATGTGTTTTAACGGAACTATTAAGGATCGCAACTTGGGCTATATATCTGGTACTATCGATGATGGTCATTGTCCAGTAGCAGGTGTAAGTATTTTTTCAAATACGATTTAACATTCAACTTTGGATTAAAATCGCCAATTTTTTGCGTACAGACCATAGGTAATATTCAAGACTTTTGCACGGTTGGTTTAAAGATTAGTGGGTCTTCGCCGATTACTACACAATCCCTATTTCACTTCGAAAATGTTAGTATAACATCGGTAACTGCAACGACTACTGGCCTTCATACGTTAGCTTTTTTGGGAACTGAATTTGGCACAATAAAAAAGGTTTTAATATCTGGCCACAATGCCGGCGAATACGAAGAGATAACAGTCGATCCTGGCAATCGAATTCTTCAAGACACCATGATGTCTTCAAATAAAGAGTTCTTGTATGTGCTTTCGAAACGTAAGGTAAATATAATGATGGATTCGTTGGTATCTTACCAGTTTTAGTTTATACAACTTCATTGTTTACATTTCAACTAATGCAAGGATATAATTTTTAAAATAGATTACCAAACTTCGAATAGAGCATTGCTCAGTTTATTCTAACTGCTCTTCGTGCTTGGAATCTCGTGATCCTTTTTGTGGCTGGTGTTCACTGGAAAAACGTTGTACTGTCAGATCAACTTGCCAAAAAGATACTTCTGCCGCACGTTGGCTTTCACTAGGAAGTGGTCAACAATGTATTGATTTCGAATCTGTTGTCCCTGACAAAATACCTATCACTGAGCTTACACAGGTGCAGTTAGTCATACGTACTTTGCCAGAGCCGTTCAATGCTAAATATCGCTGCGTTTTTGGAAACTCAACCCCTATTGATGCTGATGTACTTGAAAATGGATTAGCTTGTATTACCCCGCCGATAGAGGAAAGACCTCAGATCAGTTCGAATATGGATCACGTTTTGGTGCCGCTTTCTGTTCGAAGTTCAGAGACCAATAAAGATTTTGTGTCGCGTTCCTTTGCATTTTTTGACTGTTCTAGGCATAATACTTGTCAGAATTGTGTGCGCAGTATTTGGGGGTGCAACTGGTGCATTTTTGACAATAAATGTGTACACAAAATGGAAGAATGCAGGAATATGGAGAATGTTATTAGTAATGAAGAAGTCTGTCCACATTTGAAACCTTCTCGGCAGCCGATACTACTGCCTGTTCAAGTGCCAAAAGAAATAAGACTTGAAATTGAAAATCTTCCCAAGCCAAAAAGTGCCCATTCCGGATTTTTGTGTACCGTTCAAATCGAAACATCTCAAATGCTTTTGCCAGCACGCATTGAATCAAATAAAATTGTAGTATGTGAAAAGACGCCGGTAAGTTTTGAAAATAAGCTCAGCTCTAATTACTTTTATTAATAACTTTTTTGGAATGTAGTATTTCTATGAAAGGAATACCCATGAATATGAGGCAAAAGTGGATATTATATGGAATCGGCAACATTATGTTGATACGGCAACCATTATCTTGTATAAATGTGATGTGCTAGGTTCCCATCGTGAACATGCTGATTGCAGCTTGTGTGTTACAAGGGATCCTAAATATCAGTGTTCGTGGTGTGGTAATTCATGTGTCTACAATGAGACATGTTCTTCCGAGGTGCACGCTGTAGGGTCGTATGATATGCCATATTCGATGATTCGCGCTAACGAATGCCCACGTCCTCGCATCGATATGATTAAACCTCTGTCAGGACCAATCGAAGGTGGAACTTTAATTACTATTGAAGGCAGTAATTTAGGTATACGAGAGGAAGACGTGCGTGGAAAAATATCTATTGGTAAAGTTCCATGTGAATTGGTTAACTATGAAATATCAGTGAAAATTGAGTGTCGAACTGGTGCTGTTGCACATGAGCTATCCGCTCCTATAAAAGTTGCCAATGACGCTGGTTACACAGAATCGAGTGTACAATTTCATTTCAAGAATATACAGCTTAATGGATTACAACCAACAATCGGTCCGAAATCTGGTGGCACGCAAATTTCACTTATGGGAAAGTATCTTAATATTGGCTCCCATATACGAGCATTTCTAGATGAGTACGAATGCAATATAAATGTAACTCAAGCATCTTCGTCGCGCTTGACTTGTATTACATCGGAAGCTACACAACCAGAACCAATTCGAATTTTACGATTAGTTATAGATGGCGCCAACCGGACATATACCTGTAGCAATCCCATGTTTCCGCAAATTCATTCGCATAAAAATTCATATAGTCAACATCAAGTATCGCCTGAACAAGGCACAAACTATGCTTATCATTATCACATTCCCTCGCCGCGGATATGCTCAATATTCAATTATACACAAGATCCACGAATAATGCAGATAAAACCCTTGCGGAGTTTTGCAAGCGGAGGTAGGGTATTAACAGTTCATGGCTTACATTTGAATTCGATTCAGAAACCCGAGTTAGAGGTAACTATTGACAATGGGCGTATTAATAAGAGTGCCTGTACTGTTATAAATCCAAACCAAATGGAGTGCCCGTCGCCGTCGGTCAATGCAAAGTTTTTGGAATACAAGGCCTCCTTGGAACAAATTAAAATAGCAGCTACAAATCCGTACACGTCTTCGTTTTCGAAATTCAGATTTGATGGTGTAAGAAAGCGTAGTACTCAAGTCGAAGATAATTCGTATTCATACACTACGATCACCAACTCAGCAAATGGTTATTCCGGGGTAGCGGGTGCTGACGTTGCCGCTTTTGTTAAGATACGTGAAACTCAATTAAATCTGCAAGTTGGTTTCATTATGGACAATGTGCAGTGGGTACGCGACTTAAGTAAATATTTTCAAAATATTCGTAGTACGATTGTTTACGTGCCCGATCCGAAGTATACTCCATTTCCAGGTGGGGTCAAGCTTTATAAAGGCGACACATTAGTCATAGAAGGCGAACAGTTAAACCTCGCCGCAGACGAATATGATGTTAATGTAACAATTGGTACATCGCAGTGTAATATAACCAGTTTGGCTTTAAATCAATTAGTATGCATTCCCCCTGAAAAGCAACCCGCACCCACTGATGAAAACGATGTAGAACAGGTCAACTCCTTGCCCTTAGTTGTTGTAAAAGTTGGCCGAAATTTGCGATTTGTTATTGGACACTTAAAATATGATCTACTTAAGCCATACTCGTTCTCAAATGCGCTAGTTGGTATCGTTGTTACAGTTCTCATCGCGTTAGTGGCCTTGTTCGTGGTTCTAATTATCTACAGGCGGAAATCAACACAAGCTGAGCGTGAATATAAACGCATACAAATACAAATGATTACTTTAGAAAGCAATGTTCGTTCAGAATGTAAGCAAGCTTTTGCCGAATTACAAACCGATATGACGGATTTGACTGCTGATTTGGAGAGCAGCGGCATACCTACCCTCGACCACGTCAATTACATAATGAAAGTTTTCTTTCCAGGAGTTTCCGATCATCCAATTTTGGTAGCACCAAAGGTTAGTTTATTTTACATACTTAGTACAAATTGAGGTAGGTTGTTATCCAATTAGCCAATTGCTCTCTTCGCCGTTATATTTCTATAAATTTAGAGAATTCTACAAATGTATCTTTGTTTTTTTTTTTTAGCTGCGATTGAATACCCCGCACACTCCTTACGACACTGCCATGCTTCAATTTGAACAACTGATTAGCAACAAATATTTTGTATTAACTTTTATCGAAACCTTAGAATCTCAGAAAACGTTTAATATTCGCGACAAGTAAGTAGCGAGTTTGTATGTTTTTTTGATGTATTGTGCGTAGAAAAAAGTCACTGCGAATTTCCTGTATGTCCTTCAAAGCAATCTAAAGTAAAAAGATCAAGGATCAGTTTATAATATGTATATTCCCCGCCTTGTTTGATGATTTTGTTATCTTTCGGAGAGTTTTTTAACTCGCCGTTTGCAGAAGGACCTGTATCTAATTAAGGTTAAAATAATCCCTACCTTTCACACTATTTACATAATAAAAAAATCCCTTTTTCTTATAATTTGCAACTCGAAATCGTTGACAACACTTTGCATCAGACGCGTGAGCGACTTATTCTCTTCATATATTAAAGAATTAACATTTTAGTATAGTTTAACTCACTTTTTATAACTTAAATTAAAATTAAAGCAAATAGTTGAATTAATTTGTATTAATCTTCTTATTTTGAATTAAAAGTAAAATGACT